AATAGCCAGGCTCCACGTGGCTCACCGAGGGGATGGTCGGTGATACAGCCCCGGGCAGGCGTCCGGGACGGTCCAGAGCGGCGGAGATCCGCGCCGGTATCCGGGCTCCGAAGACACTTCCGGCCCCTCCCTGTGCACTCCCGTGCCAGCCTGGAGAGGGGTGCAAGGCAGGGGAGGGCCCCCTGACGTCCACCTCCCCCCACCCCAGCAACACCGGTCCAGAAGCCTCCAGGCAGGTTTTCTACAGGCTTTCTCTGGCCCCGCAGCTTAACAAGGACAGAACTGTTGAGTGCCTAACTTTTTCCAGGCGCTGTGCTGAAGGCGAGGCGCTGTTCTTTTTCTTTTTTTCTTTTTTTTCTTTTTGAGGCGCTGTGATCTTGATGGATATTGATTCGATGATGTAGATCATTTCGTGGATGGGGTAGCTGGGGCCAAGAAAGGTTTACCTTGGCTCAGGTTATACATCTGGAAAGCCGTACAGGCAGGAGTTGGGGTGCCTTTGATCAGTCATTCTCGAGCCTAATTCTCCCTCTGGCTGAGTTCCTTTGGGGTACAGTCTGCACCTCTGTATTGCCTACAACTCGCCCAGTGTAGACTACGCAAGGCGCCTACTAGGCGCTGAATGCATTTACTACACCTCTGCGAGTTACTGAAGCGGCTCGGGGAGCCTGGCAGCCCTTGTCAAGAAGTCCCCCATCTAGTGGCCGAGACAGGCATGCAAAAATAGAGTACGGATATGGCAGTGGTTCTCAACCTTCCCAATGCCGCGACCCTTTAATACATACAGTTCCTCATGGTGTGGTGACCCCCAACCATAAAATTATTTTCGTTGCTACTTCATAACTGTAATTTTACTACTGTTATGAATCGTTATGTAAATATCTGATATGCAGGATGTACTTTCATTGTTACAAATTGAACGTAATTAAAGCATAGTGATTAATCACAAAAACAATATGTAATTATGTATGTGTTTTCCGATGGTCTTAGGTGACCCCTGTGAAAGGATCGTTCGACCCCCCAAAGGGGTGGCGACCCACAGGTTGAGAACCGCTGGTATATGGTATGCTTCTCGTCTCAGAATAATGTTTTTCATGCATAAAAATAAACACATAATCTTTAAAAAATTAAACACAGAATCACAGCAACTCCCCTCCTAGGTATACCAACAAGTACTGAAAGCAGGAACTCAATGAGATATTTGTACACCAATGTTCATAACAGCATTATTTACAGTAGTCAAACGGCGGAAACCACACAAATGTCCATCAACAGATGAATGGATACGCAAAATGTGGTGAGTAAATACTGTGAAATATTATTCAGCCTTAAAAAGACCTGCAATTGTGACACCTGATACAACATGGATGAACCTTGAAGACATTATGCTAAGTGAAATAAGCCAGACACAAGAGGACAGATATTGTATGATTCCACTCATTTGAGGTATCTAGAGTGGTCAAATTCACAGAGACAGAAAGTAAAATGGTGGTTGGGATGGGAGAGGACTATGAGGAGTTAGTGTTTAATGGGAAGATGAAAAGTTCTGGAGATGGATGGTGGCACAACAGTGTGAGTGTATTTAATGCCACTAAACTGTACACTTAAAATGTAAAAATGGTAAATTTCATTTATCATTTACTAGGATAAAAAAATACATAAGACAAACCCTGGTTGGGTGGCTCAGTTGGTTAGAGCATCATCCTGATGTGCCAGGGTTGAAGGTTCAATCCCCGGTCGAGGCACATGCAAGGATCAACCAAATGACTGCATAGATAGGTGGAACAACAGGTTGATATTTCTCACTCTCTCCTTTTTCTCTCTCTAAAATAAATAAATAAAAAAAATTAAAACACATTAAAAAACCAAAAATTAAACTGAAATATAGATATCTAAGTATTTTTTAGAAAACTAAATGTGTGCTGTAATAATATATGCTTTAGCCCTGCCCGGTTTGGCTCAGTGGATAGAGTGTCGGCCTGTGAACTGAAGGTTCCCGGGTTCGATTCTGGTCAAGGGCACATACCTGTGTTGCAGGCTCCATCCCCTGTAGGGGGCATGCAGGAGGCAGCTGATCAATGATTCTCTCTCATCATTGATATTTCTATCTCTCTCTCCCTCTTCCTTCCTCTCTGAAATCAATAAAAATATATTTTAAATAATAATAATATATGCTTTATTATTGCATAAAATAAACCAGATCTCATGAAAAATCTACCTGTGACATAATAAGAAATATATATATTTGGTCTCTGCCCCTTGTTCCTGACACAGAATTCTTAAAAGCCTGTAATTTCCTCAGTGGTGTAGGTGGTAGTAGTGTCTCATGCAGCACTCCTCAAACCCTTGGAATTTCCTGGGTGACAGGAGCATCTTTTATTCCTATGAAGGGACTATTAGTGGGCTCCTGGATAGCTTCAGGATGGGATTTGGTCGCCGGAAAGACCAAGCCATGGCTGGAAGCTTGGAACTTTCAACCCCAACCCCCAACCTCCAGGGAGGGACAAGGGGCTAGAGATTGAGTTAGTAATCAATCATGCCTACATGATGTAGCGTCCATATAAACCCCTAAACTATGAGCCACGTGGTTTCCTCTGGTTTCTTAAAGCTACCACCCTTCTCTGTCTGGGTAATTCTGCCTCCTAGTCATCATGTGCCATTTGACCAGCGGGCTGGGTCCTGCTTTATCTCCCTACAGACTGCTTGGTTCCTGGCTCTCCCTCTTCTCCCTCTACCTTTATACTTATAAGAGCTAATGAGCATCCCTCAGTGTTCTCACTTTGGCTACCTCCTGTCACCTGTGGTTCCCTTCAGCATCTCCACTAACTCACCTTCTCACACTCTCACAGACTTACACCTTCATTGCGCCCAAGACCAGGGACAGTGAGTTGGTTCTGTGATCCCAGTGGCCTTTGTGGCTGGGGCCTGTGCATCCCCAGGGGCTGGGAAGGTCAGAGAAGTACGGATGAAAAGGCTGGAGGGGAGTGGTGGTGGTGGTGGTGGTGGTGTGTGTGTGTATGTGTACAGCTGACATTCTCTGGGCCTGGCTGTGTTGGCTGCTGCCCTCTAGTGGTGGTCAGACGAACTGGAGGACCGAAGCCTGGGCCCGTTCAAAACCTACAGGAATTTTGAGAGACAACTGCCAGTCTTATAGAGTAAGGGCCAGGAGGGCAAGCCCCGCGCGCACAAAAACACACATTATACACAGTTGGAGCCAGGAGCCACATCAGCACCTGGGCCTCTGCCGCCCCTGCCTGGCCTGGCTACAGACAATGGTTGTTGTGTGAGACACCATGAAGGCAGAGACAGGCAGAGACAGGCCTGGAGACCCAGGTTCCTCTTCTCTCCTGATCCTCTCCGTCCCTGTGTAGCTCCTTCCCTGCCAGATCCCCAGCCCCCCCAAAAAGCACAGTGTGGGGGTAGGAAGATTTAAGGACATGTTACCTCCCACTCCACTCCACCCCTAACACACACAGTGTACCCTCTCCAAGGGGCCTACATCCTAAAGAGGAATTTTTTCTGTGACAGTCCATGTAGTCAGCAGGTTTGTCTAACATCTTACCTCTCGGCTCTCGGTTCTGCAGCAAATTAGCACAGCAAAATTCTAGTAAGAGACAAACCACAAACTATGAAAACAATGACCACTGCTATCCATATCATCTATTTGTCCCTGTAATTTAGGCCCCCCACCCTGTTTCTCTGCTATGCCCCTGCTCCCCACCCACACAGCTGCCCTCCCCCACCCCTGTCACATGCCTGGGGCCCCAACTCAGGTGGCTGAGTTAAAGAGCTTTCTAGTGACAAGTCCTCAAAGGGC